GCTGCCTCTTCCTCCTCGAGCTGCTTATGCGCTATCGCAGCAGGCCAGGCTAGACATCATCTGCATTTCTGCTGCCCAACAAAATCACCAGTGGCCCTAGCCGCGCAGGATGCATCGGGACATCAAGCCGTGGTTGCGCATGTCATTGAGGCTTTGCAGTCATCGTTTGATATTGCGTGGATTCTCTTGAGATCAGGATCACGACAGCGAGGTGCAAGTTGCTGCTCTGTCTCAAGATGGCAAGTTCTGCGCTGCAGCGCAGCTTACTCAGACCTTGTTTGGCATGCTGCTGACAGCGCGGCTTCAATGTCATCAATGTTGAAATTTGTCTTCGGGATGTATTCTGGGCTTCCCTCCTCCGTGGTGAAGGCCTTTGCTGCCCTCGCCGGTCCTTTCCAGCACCTGTTTGACCAACACCATCACCAACTAGCTGACTGTCCGTGATCATGTATTCAACATATAGCACCTCAAATATGCTGAAAGTTCCTTTCATAGGTTACCCTGGTTTGTTTGGTGAATGATCGTAACTCACTCGAATTTGTATCCCTATGTGATGCACTGATACGAGCAGTAAAAAAACCCTGTAGCGTCACTTTACATGATGTCAGCACGTCATGTACACATCATGCTGCACGCCGCGTGTAAACAAATGATTGCACTTATGTATGTACAAAGGCAATTCGATGTAATGCAATGTAAATGTAAATGTAAACGTAAATGTACATGTTGAGGGAGTGTGATGTAACGTCATGTTCTGCAATGTCACGTCATGTCAGGTACCGCAATGTAACACAATGTTGTATGTGTACTGTATGCAATGTATGAAAGGTCTGCACTGTGTTTATGCATGTAATGTACGTAGTGTAGGAAATGTATTTGATCTATGTAAGTGTAAGGCATGCAATCTATGTAATGTGTCTGATGTATCAAATGTGTGTAGTGAATGCAATGTATGTAATGTACAAATCTACGTTTGTAGAAATGTTTGGTGTCTCTTTTTTGTTTGATTGTCTGTCTTTCTATGTGTATGTATGTACGTAAGTAATGTAATGGAATGCCATGCAATGTAATATTGTAATCCAATGCGATGTAATGCATATATATATACATATATATATATATTATGTATGTAGCGTCATGCAATGTAACGTAACACAATGTAGTGTAATGTAATGCAATGTATGCAGGTAATGTATGTATGTATGTGTGTACGTACATATGTATGTAATGTAATGTAATGTGATGTAATGCAATGTAATGCAATGTAATGCAATGTAATGCAATGTAATGCAATGTAATGCAAGGCAATGTAATGTGATGTGATGTAATGTAATGTAGGTGTGTAGGTATGTGTGTAATGTATGTATGTATGTATGTAATGTAATGTAATGTAATGTAATGTAATGTAATGTAATGCAATGCAATGTAATGTAATGTAATGTAATGTAATGTAATGTAATGTAATGTAATGTAATGTAATGTAATGTAATGTAAATGTATGTATGTAATGTAATGTAATGTAATGTAATGTAATGTAATGTGATGTAATGTAATGTAATGTAATGTAATGTAATGTAATGTAATGTAATGTAATGTAATGTAATGTAATGTAATGTAATGTAATGTAATGTATGTATGTATGTATGTATGTATGTATGTATGTATGTATGTATGTATGTATGTATGTATGTATGTATGTATGTATGTATGTATGTATGTATGTATGTATGTATGTATGTATGTATGTATGTATGTATGTATGTATGTATGTATGTATGTATGTATGTATGTATGTATGTATGTATGTATGTATGTATGTATGTATGTATGTATGTATGTATGTATGTATGTATGTATGTATGTATGTATGTATGTATGTATGTATGTATGTGTATGTATGTATGTGTATGTATGTATGTATGTATGTATGTATGTATGTATGTATGTATGTAATGTATGTATGTATGTATGTATGTATGTATGTATGTATGTACTGTATGTATGTATGTATGTATGTATGTGTATGTATGTATGTATGTATGTATGTATGTATGTATGTATGTATGTATGTATGTATGTATGTATGTATGTATGTATGTATGTATGTATGTATGTATGTATGTATGTATGTATGTATGTATGTATGTATGTATGTATGTATGTATGTATGTATGTATGTATGTATGTGTATGTATGTATGTATGTATGTATGTATGTATGTATGTATGTATGTATGTATGTATGTATGTATGTATGTATGTATGTATGTATGTATGTATGTATGTATGTATGTATGTATGTATGTATGTATGTATGTATGTAATGTATGTATGTATGTATGTATGTATGTATGTATGTAATGTATGTATGTATGTATGTATGTATGTATGTATGTATGTATGTGTATGTATGTATGTATGTATGTATGTATGTATGTATGTATGTATGTATGTATGTATGTATGTATGTATGTATGTATGTATGTATGTATGTATGTATGTATGTAATGTATGTAATGTATGTATGTATGTATGTATGTATGTATGTATGTGTAGGTAGGTAGGTATGTATGTATGTGTATGTAATGTAATGTAATGTAATGTAATGTAATGTAATGTAATGTAATGTAATGTAATGTAATGTAATGTAATGTATGTATGTATGTATGTATGTATGTAATGTATGTATGTATGTATGTATGTATGTATGTATGTAATGTATGTATGTATGTATGTATGTATGTATGTATGTATGTATGTATGTATGTATGTATGTATGTATGTATGTATGTATGTATGTATGTATGTATGTATGTATGTATGTATGTATGTATGTATGTATGTATGTATGTATGTATGTATGTATGTATGTATGTATGTATGTATGTGTATCATGTATGTATGTATGTATGTATGTATGTATGTATGTATGTATGTATGTATGTATGTATGTATGTATGTATGTATGAATGTATGTATGTATGTATGTATGTATGTATGTGTATGTATGTATGTATGTATGTATGTATGTATGTATGTATGTATGTATGTATGTATGTATGTATGTAATGTATGTATGTATGTATGTATGTATGTATGTATGTATGTATGTATGTATGTATGTATGTATGTATGTATGTATGTATGTATGTATGTATGTATGTATGTATGTATGTATGTATGTATGTATGTATGTATGTATGTATGTATGTATGTATGTATGTATGTATGTATGTATGTATGTATGTATGTATGTATGTATGTATGTGTGTAATGTATGTAATGTATGTATGTATGTATGTAATGTAATGCAAGGCAATGTCATGTAATGTAAGGTAATGTAATGTAATGTAATGTAATACATGCATGTATGTTACACTATGTTATGTATGTATGAATGTATGTTTGTAATGCATGATATTAGCTGTGTATGTGTGTATGTAGGTAATGATGTATTTTTGCAGTGTAATTCTTATGTTGTCCTAACTTGTTTTGGGTTAACTAGGATGTCATGGTGCCAAGTGCTGATAACTCCCACTGCCTGCACTGTACTCGGACCAGTCTGAACTTGTTACTCGGGGCCATTTTGGCTCAAGTCAATGACTTGATCGTGGTTCAAGCCTTGAATCTTCTTGGTTGTTTTCTTTTCTCGGCTATGGAACGAGCTATGGACATGGCAGCTGATGCCAAGCATGACGCCCGTCGTGAGGCACAAGCGGAAGCCGTGCAGGAGAAGCTTGTTTCTGGACTATGGAAGTGGATGCGGAGGAGACAGCAGCTGACCTTGGTGGCCTTGGGGTAGGGACGGCTGCTTCCAGCGCTGTATCCCTCCCTGAGGACCCAAGCCTGGATGACCTGCTCCTTGACCCGCGGGTCGATACGAACACAGAGAAACCTGAAGTTAGGACGGCTGCTTCTAGCGCTGTATCCGCTTGGCTGATCCCGGGGATGGACGACACAGATCTGAAAAAAACCTCTTCGGCATGGACAAGTGGCTCTACGTCGAGGACAATGCCTACTGTGGGCCCACCACAGCGGAACTGGCGGAGTGGATCCAGAAGAAGGTGGGGGAGCATGCTGTCCCTTCCGAAGTCTTCAAAGAGCTGGAAGACAAGCTGGTCATTGACGGCGAGGCAGAGGTGGCCGGCAGTGGTCCGTTGGTGTGGCTTGGAAGAGGACCCCATCAACGCGCTCACGGGCCTGGAGCTCTCGGCGGAGGTGGCCCAGAAATGGTACGCTGTCAAGAAGGAAGAGAGGGTGCTGATTCGCTCCACTGGGGACACGGGGCGGATGCGCGGGTGCGGGCAGACCCGCATCGAGAAGAAGAAGACGCTAAAGATGCCGGCGCAGATCCCGATCCTTTGCAGGATCCCCACCCTGACGGAGCTGGACCTTCAGGATAATGTTGGGGAGTGATTAATAAAGGGCCCCCCCCCCCTCAAACGAATTGGGGGGGGTCTATAGCGATAACCACCAAAAACTAAATGGGGGTCAGACTGGGACCTGCCTGAGTAGTTTTCCAGTAAGTATTGTTTAGAATTGGTTTAGTATTGGTTTAGTATTCCTCTGAGCTGGCTCACTACTGTTTAGAATTGGTTTAGTATTAGTTCAGTTTTCTTTTCAGTTGACTCACTACAGTTTAGAATTGGTTTAGTTCTTCTTCTTGGCAGGCTGCCCTGGCCATTTTTTCACAATTCCCTACCCTTAAACAAACTGCATTATTGCCTTCCTGGGGGTTCTGTGTGCCACCCCCTTGAAAATTCGTCAGGGTGCATCTTCTAGTAAAGGGATTGATAAGGAATTTGGTGGTTTGGGGCAGGAAGCAATCCAGAGATTCTGGACATGTCTGGCTTTGTCTGAGAACAGCAGGGCTTTCTTCTTGGCAGGCTGCCCTGGCCATTTTTTCTTCACAATTCCCTACCCTTAGACAAACTGCATTATTGCCTTCCTGGGGGTTCCGTGTGCCACCCCCTTGAAAATTCGTCAGGGTGCATCTTCTAGTAAAGGGATTGATAAGGAATTTGGTGGTTTGGGACAGGAAGCAATCCAGAAATTCTGGACATTTCTGGCTGGACTCAAACGTTTCAACCCTCAAAAATAGTCCATTCTTGGAAGGGGACATATTTTCGGGATATCGGGCAGACTTTTTCTGTAATACCCACCCTTTTTGCTTTTCAGGAGAGTGAATAATTTTGAGATTTTTTTCTGTATTCACTCCCGTTTCATTAATCGCTATCTAACATTAAGTCCGCCAAGTTG